GTAGGGCTGGGGCCGGTCTGGGGGGACCTGGGACAGGTGACATGCCTCCTGGACGACTCCTGCGACCCCAGGTATGTGCTGTTGCTCGGACTCGTGGGGTAGGCAGCCCACTCAGCCCATGGTGCCCCAGAGCAGGACTTCCCAGATACAAGTGTGGCATGTGCCCAGGGGGCAGGCTTCAGGCTGAGGTGCCCTTGGCAGAAAGAAATGGGTCCCGAGGACTTGTTCCCTCCCTGCGAGGCCTGTGGGGTGGGTGCCAGGTGGAGGGCAGGGCCTGCTGGTTGGGTGCTCATGAAGGCCCAGGGAGCAAAGGGTGACAAGCAGGTGAGGTGAGACACCAACGGCTCAGCCCAGGTGTCTGATACCTGGCAGTGTTCTGGGCCTGACCGTGGGGGCTGAAGAAATACTCTGAATGTTTATGTGAAAGGATTCATGATGAGAGGAACGTGGGGTTGGGTTAAGCAGCTGACACTCAGGGCACAGCCGACCCCGAGCCTCAGGCTGGAAGGCACGAGTGCTCCATCCAGCCCCCAGCAGGGCTCCCTGTCGTGGATGCCGCCGTGAGGTGCTCAGGACCCCACGCTGGTGGTCTCAGCAGCGGTCGCTGTGGGTGCCCAGGGGTCCAAGGCCCACATCGGGATGTCTGTGTGGTGGTTGTCCCTTGCCAGCCGGGAGCCCTGGTGATTTCTTGTGCTCAGTGCAGATGCTGGTGAGGGCCGGCTCCCCGCTTTCTGGTCCCCACTGACTCCGCCCCCTCTCCTCGCCCGCCAGGCCTGCTGGAGTCCCAGCTGAGCCGGCACGACCAGATGCTGAGTGTGCACGACATCCGCCTGGCAGACATGGACCTGCGCTTCCAGGTGCTGGAGACAGCCAGCTACAACGGGGTGCTCATCTGGAAGATCCGGGACTACAAGCGGCGGAAGCAGGAGGCCGTCATGGGGAAGACGCTGTCCTTGTACAGCCAGCCCTTCTACACGGGCTACTTTGGCTACAAGATGTGCGCCCGCGTCTACCTGAATGGGGACGGCATGGGGAAGGGGACGCACCTGTCGCTCTTCTTCGTGATCATGCGCGGAGAGTATGACGCTCTGCTTCCCTGGCCCTTCAAGCAGAAAGTGACGCTTATGCTCATGGACCAGGGCTCCTCTCGGCGGCACTTGGGCGACGCATTCAAGCCCGACCCCAACAGCAGCAGCTTCAAGAAGCCCACCGGGGAGATGAACATCGCCTCTGGCTGCCCGGTCTTCGTGGCCCAGACTGTGCTTGAAAACGGGACGTATATCAAAGATGACACCATTTTTATTAAAGTCATAGTGGATACGTCGGACCTGCCTGATCCCTGACGAGTCTCCGGGGAGATGGATTGAGCAGAAGGCAACTCCTCTGGGGGGCTTTGAACCGCTGTCTCCACCAAGGTCCTCGCTCAGAAAAGGACCTTGTGGGACGGAGGAAGTGGCAGGAGGCGGCCGCGGGCCGGCAGGAGGAGCCAGTGAGGGGACGTTTCCTAATAGACTAGCACATTTCACCGAAGAATTATTTATCCTTCGACGAGATAAATACTGCTTTCAGAGAAGGTCTTCATGTTCATTTTTAAAGATCTCATTAAGGAAGAAAACATATGCTAAAAACAGAACCGTGACTCTTCCTGAAACTTGAACACACAGAAAACACCCCCCCATGCACACCCCGGGGCTAGCTGGACACGTCAGCATGTTAAGTAAAAGAGGAGTTTATGAAATAATCATGCAGTTCTGATATATTCGTTCTAAAACCCAAGAGTGCAATCTTGTTTCAAATACAGCATATTGTCTATTTTGAAGGCCTCACCTGGTCTCTGTTTTAATAATTTGTTTGTCAGAAGACCCCGGATGCATCTCTGTCTTTTCTGGAAGTCGCTAAATTCAGAATCACTTTTTAATTTAAAGTTCTAAGATAATTGTTACTGCAGACATTTTATTTTAAAACAATAGACTTATATTTCTTGGAAGAAAATGTAAAATATCAAACACTGGTTATCACTTGTGATAGGAAAGCAAACCTTCAACCTGTCATTTCTCGTTAGAAATGTAAACCTTCGATTCCTGTTGTAGTGAGTGACACTACTTCAGATTATTACGAGAGGAACCGCTCATGGATGCTGTGCATCATCTCAGGTTTATACTTGTTTTCACCCTAAAATAGGGCATTCGTTGAACTTTGGAGTTCTGAACAAACCCTGCAGGTTTTTAAATTGTGTCCCACGAGTCCCAACAAGGTCTCGGCCACTGACGGCTCCGGCGCTCGGCGCCCGGTGTGCGGGTGGGGGGGACTGTGCCGAGGCGGCCACAGCAGGCGTCCCTTCATTCTGTCATTGCTGCATCTGTCACGACCTCCGAAAGCAACATCCTTGTGTAGAGATGGTGGCATCTGTACCTGTGCCTTAGCCGCGCACGCTGCTTCCCGACCCGGCCCGAGCCCTGTGTTCTCTGTGACTCTAGGCGGCGACCGTGTGACCAGGCTTCCTCACGACCACTCGACCACTCGCTCTGTCTCTCCCCGCCCCCGGGCAGCTCCGTCTTTGGCTTCTGGGGCCCCCCTGGTTAGTTACCACTAATTATCGCAGATCCCAAATCTCTCGGCCCCAAGGGTGAGCCGCCTGGCCCAGGCACGGGCGTGGCCCCCTCCAGCGGCACCTGCGAGCATTCCAGAGACCGCTGCCCTGGGGGCTGCGCAGGCTGACCCTCGGCCTCTGGTGCCACCCCCGCCCTCGGGAAGGGTGGCCTCAGGGCCCGTGGGCCCAGTCTGCTCCACCTCGCCGGCATTTTCTCAACTCACTGTTTACCTTCTCTCAATGGTCCAACTGTGATTAGAAGCCGGAGCCCTGCCTCCCGTGCCCCTCTGCTATGCACCATGCTTCATGGGTGCTCTAACCACCGACGGGTGCTACACGTGACGGGTGCTTTGTAGGCACGACCAGTGCGTGACCCACCGCATCCGTGCCCTCATCCAAAAGCCGCGCCCACCCCCGGCCAGCTGGGCCGCGCACTCAGACTGCCGCCTGCCCCTGGGCTCCACGGTTGCGCGGGGACAGCGGGGTGGGTGCCGGGGCCCCCCGTGTCTCTGGTGCTGCTGTCCGCCCTGGGCGTGCCTTCGCCCCAGTGCCTGCGGGAAGCGCCCTCTTTGCACACGGCCCCGGGCTTCCGTGGTGACCTCTGGGGTTACGATGCTCAGCTGTCTTCATCTTCTCTCCTGTCTCCACTCCCAGGACGGCTCTGAGGGCCAGTGTCACCCGTCGGGAGTTGGTGTCCCCACTCACAGAAGAGGGACCTCGAGCAGGTGCCGCTCCCTCAGAGGCGTCCCCGCCCCCAGGCCTCGCCTGGTCCTACCCTGCAGTCCCTACCTGGCCTCAGGCAGCTTCCCGAGGTCAGGGTTACCAACAGGGACATCCCTGCGACGTCCAGTTCTCTAACAGATTTAGAATAAGCAGCATCTTGGTCTGGCCAAAAAGAAAAACAAAAGCTAATCTTTTTCCCTCTCTCCCTGGGTTGAAGTGCTGTTGGGGGTGGGTCGGGGAAGCATCTGTCCTGGTGGGGGGCTTGCCCCTGGCGGGGAACAAAGGGCCGCCCCTCCTCCTCCCGTGGAGCCCATAGGACATGGCTTTGGTAGCTGGGAATTGGCTGTGATGTGGCTGTGATGTGTGGGAGCGTCATCCTGGTTGCAGTTGGTGGCACCGGGGGTTGTGGCCTCATGCCCACTGTTGCGCGCACACCTGTTGGGTGCTTGGGCCGTCGGAAAGCCGCCCCCTGGCTCCCTGCTCCTCCTGGCCTCTGGTGCTGGCCCTGCGGCCGAGGCCTGACCACTGATCCTGGAGCATCCCTTCCCCTCACGGTCCGGCAGCAAGTACAGGTGTCCGATGTGGTGTGATTGGGTGCACTTTCCCGTTTACTAAGAGTGACAAAGTTCCGCACAGGACAAAAGTTCTGATACTTTAGAGAAACCGACTCTCTCGACTTCCCCGTGGCCTCGTGCTGCAGCGAAGGTGCGTGGGTACAGGGGCTGGCAGTGGGGTCCACGTGCCCCTGAGGGCTGTGACCTGGCTGAGGCCCACTGCCCAGGCCTTTTTTACAAGCGGGTCTTACATTCCCTGGGCTTCACAGGTAATAGGGTAGCGTAGGAATGTGTGCGAGTCCTCAGACCTGCTGGAGGAGAGGGTGGCACTAACCCCTGGGCGAGGCTTTGTTTGCGCTCACTGCCGAGGACAGGAGGGGCATGGTGACAGCTGCTGTCAGGACCCCAGTTCCCAGTCACCTGGTGCCCCTGGCACCCCTGATGCAGCGGCTCCTTCCTGCTCTGTGACCCCAGAGGGCTGTGGCGGGAAAGCCTGCCCTCCCTGCTGGCCGCCTCCACCAGGCCTTCAGCTGCCAGCGGGTTCCAGTGGTCTCAGGCAGATCTGACGCCTCCAAGGCTTCTCCTGGACCACAGGGGACAGCCAGCCTGTCTCCTCCAGGGTCCTCAGCTGCCCGGGGTCGAGCCCCATGCCCCAGTTGACACCTATGGTCGTCACCAGCAGCACCCCTTCACTCTTGGTGGCGGTCCCCCGTGGCTGGCCCAGCACCCTGCAGCAGGGGGACAACATCGGCAGATGAAAGGGTGTCTGGATGGACCCTTAAACACAGCCGGTCCTGAGGTGGGTCATCCCTCATCCGGCTAAGGGGAGCGGGGAGATAGGCAGGACCCCAACTCACACCCTGGGGCCCAGTGCCTGCAGCAGCCAGGCCCCCAGCCCCTGTCCCCCAGCACTGAAGGAGTGAAGCCTGTGCTGTCATCCTGGGCCTCACAGACGTGTCCAGCCCCAGCACCTCGCTGTCTTCCCGGGGCAGGGCCGAGGCTCAAAGCGTGTCCCCCCTGCCCAGGGTGACTCGTGCTGGACAGGGCTGGGCAGGGCTGTGAGTCCTGGTTTTTACTTCTAGACCAGATCTTTATTGGGCTGCAGAGGTGAGCTGGGGGCTCCAGCGGCCCCTTTGCACTTGTGAGTGTTGGTGATGAGGGAGAGGTCCGCCACCCAGATTGACTTCCCAGCCGAGACCGTGGTTCTGTCTTCCGTTGGCCAGTCTCAGTAGTTGCGGTTTCTCCAAAGTGAACCATGTCCACCAGGCCCGGGTCAGGGGAGGCCAGCGTGAGGCTCCAGTTAAGGCAGGTGACCCGGTCGTCACTCCTGCGTGTTGGGGCCGTGCTGGCTGTCACCGGGGAGCCAGGCTCAGTGGGGAAGGGGGCGAGGCCGAGGCCTCCTGGGGCATGCGCCCCTGCCCCGGGGGTGAGGGCTCCGTGCATTTCATCCTCTCGCTGCTCCCCCGTCCGCAGCCTGTGTTGTGAGCTTGCCGAGGCGGCGGACGCCCGGGACGGCTGCAGCTGCGGCTGCGGGGTTGGCTCCGTAACTCAGTCCCCTTAGACAAGGAAGGTGACCTTCAACAGCAAACTCAGTGACCTAATTGGCAACCACAAACTCGTCGTATTCCCAAGGGTTTCTACAAGAGTCCTCTGTAGGAACCCCTGTGACCAGGAAGTGTGTAAATCCAGGCACACGACTGCGAAACGTTTCAGAATCGCACTCTTTCCCGGCACACCTCTCCGTCCAGTTCTTACCCAAAACAAAGACCAAAGAAGGCCGATCTCTCATTTGACTCTATTTAATCTGCCTGTTTCACAAACCGCCGTCCGCGGTGACCGCTCGCTGTGAGGACCCATCTTGACGGTGCAAGTGAGTGTGACGACCAGTGATTCACGTCTGTTTTTCTGCTCTTCTAAGAAAACAACAACAACAACAAGACCGTGTGAGTTATTGCTCAGCAATAATCATGTTGTTCATCCGCGTTAATAACATGTCTGATTTTCTAATAGCATTATTATGTTTTATATTTTTGTTTACTGTACATTGTGTGTGGTTTTATTTGGTATTTATTTGTGTTTTGAGGTCTTGCAATGTGTTTGTGTTCCTGATGCTAATAACTAAAGTTTGTAAGAGTATAGAATGCAAAACTGAAATGCTGAACTGTCTTATTAGAGGAAAATAAACCTGACTAAGGACTCTCGGTTTCTTCACACTGTCTTGCAGGCGTGGGCAGCGGCCGCCTGGGCGTGGGCGTGGGCGTGGTCTCACTGCTGCGGGGCCTGGGCAGCAACCTCAGAAGGGCCCACACTGGGTTCAATGCTCTGTTTTCACCACCCTGAAATTAAGTTTTTAAAAAGGGGTCCTGCGTGCTCAGCTTGCCCCGCATCCTGCGGGCTGTGTAGCCAGTCCTGCCCCTGGCCACCTGGCTGGCCTTTCAAGTGATGGCTCTGACCTTGAGTCCTGGGGCCAGTGACCAGCAGCCACACTGTGGCCTGGTCCATAGCAAGCAAGGTGACCCTCACCCTCCCAGAGGCCAAGCAGGGCCTCAGATCTGGGATCCTGTCCCACTTCCCACTCTTGCTGTGGGACTTCGGGCTCTCCGAGCCTCAGTTTCCTCATATCAGGTGGAAGGACAGCACCAGCCCCCTTTCTGAAATGGGGTGGTTATTAAAAAGCCATCCGCTGCTGACATCAGGTGGTGTAGGGGCTGCTGGAGATGCCGGCCTCGCGTTTCTCTAGGTGATCCTGGGAGTCCTGCCCAGCAGGAGAAAGCTTGCATCTCCCTTGAGCTTCCCCGAAATTATTGGGGGTGGGGGCTGCTTTCCAGCCTAGTACAAAGACCCTGGGAGCTGCCCAGCCCCCCCCCGCCCCTGCTCCTCCAGGTGTCACCACCGCAGCCCCGCTCGGCACTGGAGTGCCATGTTCACCCCCCTTCTCCAAGTCACAGCATTGGCCTCCGCCCACAGTAGGAAGGGGCACCCAGGAATGAACCCCCAGAAGCCACTCCGACCCGGAGTCCAGGGCCTGGCACGGACTTCTCAGGGCTCACCTCTGTCCAGCAGCCACACTGCTCCTGCCACCCCTATGCTCGCAGGCCCACTCGAGAGTCTTCCCCACCCCAGCCCTGCAGCCCTGCAGAGGATCCCACCACAGGGCCGGGGACCCCAGCCTCGCCTGACACAGGAGCTGCTCAGAGAAGGGGGCACAGCCCCATTGTTCCCTCTTTCTGGGGGTCCCAAGTCCACTCACCCTCCACCTTCCTGGGCAGGCGTTCCGACCTCAGCCTTAACCACACCAGGGACGGACACGGAGTGGCACCCTTGGTGGCCCAGAGCCTGCCTGGTGCAGATGCCCAGTGTCCATGGGATTTCCAGCTCCACTGGTGGAAACTGGACCCTTTTCTTTTCAGAGTTGGTTTTTCTGAGTCCCACGGGAAAGAAAATCAGCCAATGGCCCAGGAAGCAGAGCACATGAGCAGAAGGCGCCCACAGGGACCGGCAGAAGGCTGCAGCCTGGCTCTGTCCAGCAGAGAGCGAGCGGCCATGGGAGCCGGGGGTGTCCAGCAGCTCCCCCCAGGCTCAGCATCCTGCCCTCGCCAAGGACAGGCCTCCAGGGGGCCGGGCACAGCAGCGCAGCTGACCAGCTCGTGCCTCGGCCTTGGCCAGTGAGTCGGCACAGGGACGGACGGCGACTCCCCAGGCAGGCCGTGGCCCAGGCCTGTGGAGGCCAGGTGGCCTGTGGTGACCCTCACTGCTCAGGGGCATGGATGTGCTGCTCTGTCAGGGACAGCAGTGGGAGAAGGAGCTGGGGAACTGACCTGGGGGCGGATCTGTCCCCACAGAGTTGAGAAGAACAAAGGGGAGGGGTAGGGAAGGGGATGATTCTCCTGGGCCCTGGGGGTCTGACGGGACCACAGCCAAGAGCAGGTCTGCCCACCCCCCACGCCCAGGGCTGCAGGGCTGTCACTCACGGTGCCCTTACCTCAGCTGTAACAGCCAGTCAGAGGGCAGCAACCCAGGACCATGTGACTGGTGCAGAGGTGACCCAAGCCCAGGCCTCACTGAGCCCCCCAACCAGGGCAGTGGGGTCCAGCTCTCCAGACCACCTTCCCCTCCCCTTGGAGAAGGCTGAGCACATAGAAACCAACGCAGCAACACAGCGAGGGCGGTCAAGCCCAGACAGAGCAAGACAGACGCAAAGAAAAGAAACAGCCCAAGCCCCTGGATCCCACCGTGCCTGAAGCAGCTGCTCTGTGGGGTTTCCTGGTTAGGGGAAGACACTCTCTGGGATGCTGCATTCCTCCCACTCCCCTCTGAGGAAGCCTCTGCTCGTGTGGACCTGAGTGTCCAGGACACTAAGGGTGGCTGGTGTGGCGGCCTGGGCCAGGGCTGGTGCCTGCCTCCTGCCTGGCATGGGCTCCTCTCTGGGTCACCTTCTGATAACTGGACCTATCTCCAGCCTCCACTCGAGGTATGGAGATGGCTGCCAATACCCCACAGCCGCCAGCCCTGACGCCACCCTCATCCGACCCCCACACTGTGCCCACAGCTGTGATCTCAGCCCTCGTGTCACGGCTTTCATGCTGCCTCTTCCAGGAAGCTTTCCTTGACTTCTCTGGGAATGGCCTGCCCAGGTGGGGCAGGAGTGGTCAGCGTTTCAGTTTCCCAGGCCCCAACCGTCCCAGCCCCTGGGGCTCCCCTGGGGCCCTGCCCTCCACACAGTCCTCTTTCTGTCCCGAGAGGAAGGCGCCCCAGCCTCGAGCAGGCCTTTCAGGGTTGGGAACCCTGGGGGGTTCCCAAGGCAGAGCTCTGGCCCCAGGGTGAAGCTTGCTGAGCCTCCAAACTGCACTGAGCACTGGAAGTGGGGGCAGGGGAGGAAGTGGGGGGACAGCACTGGGAAGTTGCTCCTTCCCAGTGAGAAGCAAGAGAAGGGGTAACACAGATGTGACCCCAAACACCCCCTTTGTTCCTAGTCGAGGCCACAGAGGATGGAGCTGCCTGTGAGCCAGCAGGTAGGCAGGGCCAGACTCCAGGACCGGCCCTCCCCGCCCTCTGGGCAGGGCTGGCACCTCTGAGCCACTGAGGGCGGGTGCCCTGTCCCAGCAGGACAAAGTGCAGGGGTGGGAGGGGGGCTGGTGTGCTCACTCCCTCCTTCCGGGGAGGCCACCCCCCCTCCCGGGCACAGAGGCGAGAGCCCCCCGCCGGGCTCCACCCTGTGTGCCAGGGAGGGCGCTGAGGCTGGGAGGCTGCAGGTGAGGGGTGTGGAGGCAGGAGAGGGCAGGTCACCTGGGGGTTCCCAAGGCTAGTAGCTCCCCCTTACCCACGGTCTCCCATCTATACATCCACCCAGCCAGCCTTCCACTCCCCCTTCCATACACCCTTCGGTATCCTCTCAGCCTCGCCAGGGCACCCAGCACCCAGCGACCCATCCAGCCCCCCTTCCATCCACCATAAGCAGCAAGGCCTCCCCCACCCATCTGATTCACAGCCCACCCCCTATAGTCCATTCGCCCACCACCCACAAACCCGCTGTCCGTCACCCAGTTTACTATGTGAAATCTGTGCACCCCCCTCACCCTCCCGTCCCACCGCCCACAGGTCACCCTCCGGAGGCAGAGGTGGCCCAGCAGGCAGAGCGCCCAGCATCCACCCAGAGCATCCCTCCGACGCCCGGTCAGCCGGTACCCGCGTGTCCACGCTCACGGCCAGCCCCCGCCACCGCCCACCCGTGTCCCGTCCTCACCTCTGCTCACCCACCATCTCTCGCTAGCCGTCCACTCACAGGCCATGGAAACCCCTCCGTCCATTCACCCACCACTCAGTCCCATCCACCCTCCCAAACCCACAGCCGTTCCTCACCCCACCCATCTCAACAAGCCACCCGTCCCCGCGCCTGTCCACGCGCAGCCATCCCCGCGCCTGTCCACGCAGCCATCCCCGCGCCTGTCCACGCGCAGCCATCCCCGC